GGGCTTCTGGAAGTGATTGATATGAGCTGGGGCAGGACAAAAAGAAGATGAGCCTGGAGCATCTGGTGTTTCTAAGATGGAAGAAAATGTTCAATGAAGCAAGGGAGGCTTGTCAACAGGACTCAGGAACCGGAAGAAGCTTCAATGGCCAAAGCCAAAACAGTTGGAGCAACAAAATAATGATAGTCCTGGGTTTGATTTTGTTTATTTGTTTTACCCATAATATAAAATAAATCCATTTATTAGTTTTCTGCTGCTGTGTAACAGACTGTTAAAAGTTAGCAGCTTAAAACAGCACTCAGTTCCTAGGGTCAGGAGTCCAGGGACAGCTTCATAACTCCGTCTTCTGCTCAGGATCTCACAGGGCTATACTCAAAGTCTTCTCATGGTCAGTGTTATAATCTGGACACTCAACTGGGTAAGAATCTGCTTCAGTTTCTTCCAGATTGTAGCAGTAGTCACTTCCTTGTGGTTGTAGGAGTGTATTAGCTTTCCAAATACCTGAGATAAATCACCTGAGTAAAAGGTTTATTTTGACTCACAGCTTTCGTGCGGCCTTCAGTCTGTGATAGTTGGTCCCTTGCTTTGGGCCCATAGTGAGGCAACCCAGTGTGGTGGTAGCATGTGGTGGAACAAGCTGCTCACCTCATGGCAACTGGGAAGCAAAAAAAAAAAAGAAGAAGAAGAAGAAGAAAGAACGAACTAGGGACTGAAGTCTCACAGTCCCCTTCACAGGCATATCCCCAATGACCACGACTTCCCACTATGCCCTGCCTCCTACAGGTACCTCACCTCCCAACAGGGCCAAGCCGGGAGCCAGGACTTCACCACGTGAGCCTTTCTTTGGAGGACATGCCACATCCAAACTATAGCAAGGAGTGAGGCCCCTATTGTGTGGAACTCCTGTCCTCGCCTGGTGACTCAGCTCACACCTTAGAAGCTTACTTTCTAGAAGGTCTAAGCCCTCTGTTGAAGTCAGGCCCAGCCTGTGGGCTGATCAGAAGCCTCAGTTACCTCTGCAGAATCCCTTCACTTCTTCATGAAGGTGTTCATAAGGCATCATTCATTATTCCAGGAGTGGCAGTCCATCCTTTTGCCATGCTTTTTGGTTAGAAGCCAAGTCAGGTTCTGCCTCAGTGAAAAGAGGGGAATTACAAAGTGTGACTCATTGGAAGTCCTCCCTCCCGGGACGTATCTGCCACCATGAGTTCACTTGGATATACATAAATGGTCTAATAAATAAATGAGGACACAGTGATTCTGTTCCTCAGAATAGAATTCCAATTAATGAATGTAGAAGGAAAAAGGGAAACAGAATTACTAGGAGCACACACCTCCGTAGTAAATGCTTAAACAAGAGTTTTTTCTAACAGTTGTGAATATTGGCTTGTAAAAGTTTGAGGAGATGCAGGATTTGCATAGTCTCACATTTCTCCCCTAACATTTATTAGCTGCAAAGAGGAAACAAGGAACTTTAAAGTAGATTTCAGCCTAACCCAGTAGTCAAGGTACACATCACCAGAAGTGGGCCAGCCAGCATCTGAGACCTCCTTAGAACCAGCTAAAGAGTGTGGCATTTTTGTTGAACATGTCCCAAAATGTATTTCAGTGAAATAGATCAGCCCAAGCCAGATTGGGTAGCGTTCTACAAAGTAACTCAGGGGTACTCTTCAAAAGTTGCCAGGTCATAGAACAAAAGAAAAGACAGGAGGACTTTTATAGGCTAGAGGACATGGGAGAAATAACTAAATGCAGGGCACAATGATCCCAGAAAAAAGGATGTTTGCTGGAAAATTCAACAAACTCCAAATAAATTCTGTAAGATAAACTTCCCATCTTGATAATCGTATCATGGTTATATAAGATATTTCCATTAGGGGGCGGTGGGCTGTTGGGCTGTTGGATAATCTTCACAATTTTTTGAAATGTAAAATTAATAAAAAATAAATGGACTTGTTCATTTGTTTTTTAAATCAACAGATTTAGGATGAGCATTATAACTCAGCAAAAGTAGAAATTCAGATAACTTATTGATGCTTCCTTTACTTGTCACATGAAGATTTTGCACAGTGATGCCTACATGGTGATTGGGAAGTAAAGTCAGGTGTGAGATGGTGGGATTTTCTAGTTCACAGTAATTCTTCTGGCAGTATTTTACTTCATCATGTCATCTTCATCACAGACAAGGGGAGTTCAGGGTACATTTTAAAAGAAACCCAGTTTGAATGTTTAAGAACCGCATAAAGTTGGTTTGCTCACTTTACATGGCCATATTCTCTCTTAAAATCAACTACCAAACTTTCTTTGAAAGGTTGAATTTGTCACTGACCTGCCATACAGAAATGCATTGTTCAGAAGGTGTTTACTTGATTCCGCTGGTTTGAAGGGATCTGAATTCTCTGCTTTGTATGAACCATGCACATGAGTGAGTCTCCTATATCACCTTTCACAGCCCCATTTTCTGAGTTAGCGCCTGCTGTATAACACTCTTGGAGGATGAATTATCTCCTAGTAACTGTAGTTACCTCGTAATTAAGGAACTATGAGAAAAGAGAGATCAAAGAAAATGAGGAATTTTAAATGGCCTGGAAATATCTATCCTTAACACCCAAAGGTTCGTGTTTATTTTTCAACAGGATGGATTTAGTACTTGGTTTTTCTCCATGTTCTGAAGGGAATCACTCTCAGAATTGCACCAAACAACTGTGAGTGGTGCTTGGCTGAGGCAGTATTTTATGAGTTGTGAGATGGGCTTCTTACAGCCTTTTTTATTTTTCACTTGATATATTGTATGGAAGGAGCAGCGCCTCGGGCAGGCACAACGTAAGCCTGGTGCCCTGTATTAACACAGAATTACTGTTTGTTTTTACTGTCCTGAGTCTATGAATCCAGCCTGTCATGCAGAAGTGATCGTTATAATGTAAGCACTTAACTGTCCTGCCGCAGCTGATTCCCTAGGGAAACTTAAAAAGTCTGTGTCTGGTTGCAGAGTGCTTTAAATTTCTAAGTGGACTGTAGATTGTGACTGCAGGGAATTTCTTAGGAACCGTTTGACCCTGCTGTGGACACAGCAGCTTTTGTAGATCTGTAGCCAGTAACTTGCTCTTGAAATTTGTTTTGGTCCAGAATTTAGTTTTTACTTTATATCTAGTTAGTTGGTGTTAATACTAATTTACTACAAAGTCTAAGACAAACCAATGTCAAGTAGATTCTGTGCCATTTGTCAGGACTTTCAGCTGCTAGTGAGGGGACTCATGGAAGAGCTCATGTCTCACGGCACCTGTTTCTGGCACCTGTTTCTCTGTGTCTGTCAACTTGGGTGTTTGGCTTTGGCCTTATCTGAGAACGAGCACAGTGTGGAACACCCAGGACCACTCAGGAGTACAGCCTTAAGGCTTATGTCCACCTCTGAAAGTGAGATGCCTAACCCACCATAAAATTTGAGAATTGTTTTACAGTGATACTTTTAACAGCTATTTATACCTATTATCTAAACTGAAAATTATCTTCCTGCCTCTCTGGCTGTCAGATAACAACTGTTATTAGAGTGAGACATGAGTGGCAGTCCCCAGAGACTCCAGGCCTGAGACACCATGCTGTAGAAATGGAAGACACGACACTTGTTCATCACAAATCCCCAGGCCTGCACCATGGCCTCCGCTGGGGAGAATCAGAGGTGGTCTTCAGGCACTGCCTCCTCTGCACAGCAGTGATTCTTTTTAGCAGTGTATATAACTATGGAAGAGTAGGACGTAGAGGAGCAAAGCAGTCAGGTTGAGCTGGCCCTGTCACATGACTATTCCAGAGGGTGTGCAGAGAGAGATGTTTGTACGTGCTTCTCGACCCCACCTGTGGTAGCTAGGGGAGAGAGCAGAGCATGCCCTGCGGGTTGTGCTGAATTCAACCTTCTCCTTAATCCTAGTATTTTAGTATTAGAAATGCATCTAACCCTCTGAGCCAGAAAAGGAACTGAGGGGACCCCCTGCCTTGTGGTGCCTGCGTTTCTGCATCCTGTCTCCCACCTTGTGATGAACTGTCCCTCCTTTATCAGTGGAATAAGTACATTTTCCTTTGTCAGTAAAAAAATGCGTTTTTCTCTAGTTCACAATCAGATTCGTTATGCTAAGGGAGGGACTAAAGGAGTGAAAGACAGGATTCCCGTCCCAGGGAGCCCCCGTTGATATAGGAAAAAGCCAAACTCATTGAAAGTTATATAGATACTGTTACTGTTTAAGCAATAAAGATCAAAGGAGATGCATAATAATATTCCTTTCTTTAGTAATAACATATTCCATTGTGTGATACCATTTTTTATGTTTCTTAATGGAGGTCTTCTGAGTTTGACTCTCGGGTTGATTACAAAACTTTTTAGGAATCTGTTACTATTACTGCATTAGTTGGATATTACCAATGAGTAATTGTTGGCCATTCTACACATCTGCTTACCTATTTGGCTTCACTGTTTTGAATTTTGTTGAATGTGTAGGGAATGTATGTCAAGCTACTTCAACTACAGGTTGATTGATCCATGAGTTTGGGGGCTTATTCAGTAACAAACTGAACTTTTAGCAGGTCTTTTTGGTGAGAACTTTATCATGTTTCCTCTTCATTTTTCAGGAAACAAACGAAATATTACATTCTTTTCAGCTGTGTCTTTTTCTATGTGGGCCGTGCCTTTTGTGACCATAAGAAATGTATGTATCTGGGGCTGGGGATGTGGCTCAGGCAGTGGCGCGCTCCCCTGGCATGCGTGCGGCCTGGGTTCAATCCTCAGCACCACATACAAATAAAGATGTTGTGTCCGCCGAAGGCTAAGAAATAAATATTAAAATTCTCTCTCTCTCTCTCTTAAAAAAAAAAAGAAAGAAAGAAAGAAATGTATCTGTGTCTTGTTTTGGGGGAGGGTTTTGTGTGAATGGTTTTTTTGTGGGTTTTTTGGCACAATTGCAGTATTAACGCAAATGGTCCCCCCATCCCCACTTCCCTCCTGTGTTTTACAGGCAGTCAGATGCCTCCTCAGCCACCTGGGAGCCAGTCAGAATCCAGTTCCCATCCTGCCTTGAGCCAGTCACCAATGCCACAGGAAAGAGGTGAGTCTTCAGTTCACATCCTATGCACTGATCATGCTTTGAGTGTAGAAGGCTCATATGAGTTTTCTCACCCATTTGTCTTCTTACAGATAATTTTTTAAAAGGATGCTTATCAGATAAACAGAACTCTATAAGTAACAACAAATTTGGGGAGAAGGGATTCTTTCTTGCAGATTGGATTACATGTTACCAAAGTGTAATTCAAGGCCCAAAGAATCAGTGTGTCCACAAAACACCATGAAGTGTAGTCTGTGTTTGATTGTAGTCTGCTTAGTCCAGCTGGGTGCAGATAACTATGAGTAGCTCAATGTGGACGTCAGTCCTAATAAAGTGAAGTGTGTGAGCACACGTGCACTCAGGCACACGTGCTGACCTGACTAATCACTTGTTCCAATAGACTTAATGATAAAATTTAAACTCATATTTCAACTTATCATATAAAATTGTAAGATCTTCTAACTGGAGCAGACCTGAAAGCTCAGTGTACAGTTGAAGAAACTGAGGATTACGTTTGCCTGTGGTTTCCTCACTCCCAGCGTCTACTTAGAGACTGGGCTTTTCCTGAAGCCGCCGCCTCTGTGCTTCACTCAGTGCTGTGTGTCAGCCTGTGGTGCCTCTGCCTCCCCTGCACGGTGGTCCTCCTCCTCCAATCAGCATTCTCTTTTGTGCCACTGCTCCTATGGTGGTGGTGGTGGTGGTGATTTTAATTCAGATTGGTGTAGACCAGGGCTTACGTCACCATGGGCTGCTGTTCCCAGTCACTTCCCACAGCCTGAGGGTGAAGCTTGTCCACCTGTCCACCCTGTTCCACAGGAGATGCCACTTTGTTCCATGTGGGCCTGGAGGAGTTGCCTGCCGGCTAGGTAGCTCATGTCTAGAGGGCTGCTTGAGCCCTGACATTATGATTATTTCTGTAAGGACTGAAGAGATGATGATTTGCTGCTAATTAGACTTATGAGGTTTAAGTTATTTTACATATTAAAAATTCAGTGGCACATAATTTAGAAAGCAGTGCCATTAAAAAGATGGATTAGACTTATCTATGTATCATTTGTGTTGAATGTTTAGTGGAATAAAGTGAATTTTTCATTTCCTAATACCTTTACTTATTAGCGTTTTTATTATAGTTTAAGGTGTAGGTAATACTTTAATTCCCTTATCAAGATAATACAGGGTGTTAATCATGGACTAAGTTAATGGTTCTCAAACTTTAGCGTGCTTGAGAGTTGTTGCAGGACTTAAAACCCATTGCTGGCCCACCACAGGTTTCTGATGAAGACACTCAAAATCTGCATTTCTGACAAGCTCCAGGTACTGTGATGCACAGGGCTAAGGGGGACCTGGAGAAGCGCTGCCTGGAACTCCACAGTCTTTAACAGGCCTCAGCATTGTGCGAACCTGAGCATTTGTTTCTGTGCGCTCTCGACGTGCTATATGTCGCTCTAGCCAGGTCCTCTGAGATTGCTCACCTGTGTAAGCTCCCCCTTGGGCTCCATCGTCCTGAAGACCTTACAGACATCCCTGGACAGAGCATGCTCCAATGCCATACTTGTGGGGAGCTTGCTGCTCTGTGTATGGGGGGGGGCTGACCTTCTGTGCATGGCGGTGGGGACAGGATGGGGTGGAGGAAGCCCTGCATGGAGCACCTGTGGACCGGGTCTAGAACCAATCTGGAGATGGCTGTCACCTCACTAATTCTCAACAAGGGCCTATGGCATCACTTACACTGGCACAAGTCTGTTGATATCACATGTCACAGAGTAAGTGCCCCTTATGTGGGATCCTGGAATGTAGAACTTAGGAGACCAAAGAGAAATTCTGTCAAATCTCCTCAACCCTGGCAACTGATAGGTGTTAAGATTAGGAAATGTGGGGAAGCAAGTATGAGGTCAGGATGACAATGGGGAAGCCTGGTTAATGTGACAACATGGGAAATCACCATAGCTATCAACGCTTCCTCTGGTTGCCTTAGATGCTAAATCTGAATTGACTTTTTTTTTGCGAGGGGGCACATATTCCCTAAACCTTTTCTGAAAGATTGTGCTAAAGACACTATTTGCATTCTCTTTTGTGCTTTTATTGGTTAGATAACCTCCTAAAAAGCAAAACTTCATTTCTTAAAATGACTACTATGTTAAATGATGCGTTGCCATACATGAGTTAAATTTTCTCAAAATTGGACAGCAAAGATCAAAAGAAAATGACTTTATTGTTTGTTCAAATTTAGGAAGAGATGTCAGCTCCTAATAACATTTGCTATGGTGGTAAAAATTCATTTTTGCTTTTCCATCATTTGTTGTGCACCAACAATGGACAGTATAAAACAAGGTCGTAGAATACCCTTCTAAAACATTCCCTATCATTGATTCTTTACTGAAAAGCAGTTTAATTTCATTTATAACTTTATATTTGATATATGTCCCTCTCAAGGAAGTAATAAGAAAAAAAGCAAGAAATAATACAGCAATGATTTAGGATCTATTTTCAAAAGTATTTTTCTCAGAAACCATGGACTCTGATAGATCAGGTAAGAACAGAGCTGATTTCAACAAGTCGAAGATGTCAGGGAGACTCCATGCGTTCCCATTTTCTTTAATGTGTCCAAGACGTTTCCTTTCATGGTGTGTGCAAAGGGAGAGCTGGCACAGCTATTCCTATGTGGAGTGCCCCCTTCTTGGTCCTGCCCAGAGTCCTCCTGAGGTGCGGCAGCACTGACACCACCACACTGGAGCCAGGTCCTTCCAGGTGCAGAAGGCCAGCTCCTGCTCTGCTGCCCTTCCTTCCCATATGATGCTTATGTCCCTGTGCAGGAAGAGAGTTTTATAAACCTCAGGCTGCCCTGGGCATGGGAACCACCCTGGCAAGGTAGGGCAGTGCCCACCCCAACCCATCTCTGGTTCATTACCCTTTTGTGCTTGATAGTTCTATATGGAAATTTGTCAAAAGACAGTGACAAATCCATCTCCCCACATTAACACAGACGAAAATAGCCCTGGGTTTCTACAGCTTTGTTTCCATCTATACAGGTATTTGTATTTGTGCATAAATATGAACGTGCCACTATAGGTTACCAAAGGGGAGAAAGGCAAAGTCTCTTCGCCTCTTTATTCTCTCACACAGTGTCATTTCCTCTGTTTCACCCATTTTCCAATATAAACTTGATTTGATGCTTCGCTGTTGGACCTTTTTACTAATTGAATAAAGAAAATTAGTTCAGATTCTTTGGTATTTACTTTATTGCTGATATAAATTCAAAAAAAAAGAAAGAAAGAAAGGCCCAAACTTCAGTTTGATGTTCGGTAGTGACATATTTGCCATTGATTTTTATTTTAAACCAAATCTTCTCTCTATAGACCTCATATAACAGTGTTCAGAATTGTTATTAAATCACCTCACCAAAAAATGGAGTAGTATAAATAAGGCTACCTAAGATTAGAGGAACAGTTAGGGTAGCCCTAAAATATTAAAATAGATTTTACAGGAAAATTGTACCTAGCAAGTGTGAATTAGTTTTATCCTTGTTTCTTAATCTTTTAACATGCGTGTCTTAGAAATTCAAAAAGAGCAGTATGAAACAGCTTATTATTGTGTTGCTCTGTTTTACAAGAGGGCGTGGAAGGAATATGGAGTAATCATCTGAGCAGATAAATAAGTATAATAATTATTAACATTAAAGTGATCACATTTTTAACCCCTATAGTGTGTTAAGCTTAATGAAACTACCAGCTGCCCTTCTGGTTTATTGGATTAGCAATTAGGTGAAAACGTTGAAAGAAGACTTATTTATTTGGACAGATGTAGAGAGGTCAGAATTAATTTTTCGAAAACCTTTTAATTGAATTCCCTTTTAATTTTCACAGTAGTGTCTTGTTAAATATTCATGTTAATGCTGGTGGCTTTCTGAAGGTCTGAACTAGATCTGGATTCTCAAAATCAACATAGATTGTTTAACCCTTTTCATCTAGTGCGCCAGCAGGGACTTCCTGCACATAATCCCACAGTATTTGAATAATTAGAAGATAGTAATGAGGATTTAATTAGTCCTTGAGATATGCTGGAACACAACCCCTAAGAACTTTCCCTTTCGGACACAGACAGTGCACGGAATCGATGCTGCTGCAGGTCTGTGATATGCTAGGAAATGTATTCTGTGGCCAGAGGCATTTGTTTGGCACCATTCTTTGACTGCCAGATCCATACGAAGGGATCCTGGGTGGGGTTTTCCAGAATTATTGAATAGCTTCTCCCAGCCTTCACTTTTGTCCCCCTTGCTGACCAGATGTGGACCTCCCCTCCCTCTGCCGTGTTGAGGCAGAGTCGCTGTCCTGGCGACATACAGGCTGGCTGTGCCTGCAGGAGAACTGGCTCTCGATGGTGCTGTGGTTGGTGAAGCCGGACCATGGCGCTTCCACTGTGGCTGTGGACTGAGAACAGAGGTAGCACAATTATGCATTTGTATGATGTCCTGGAATTTTTTCCAGCCAAACTTAGGGTCTTTGACAGCTATTTGTCAGCAGAATCACAAAAACTTCATCTTTGGAACCTGATCTTCTCAAAGTGATGTTTATTGGCAGTTACATTTTTATAAATATAAATAGTGCTGCTGTCCAACAAGAGCACATCTCAGATGGGGTATGGTCCTGCCTTTTGATGTCCTCTTTGCTACCAAAAATAGTAAATTAGAATGTCTGTATTTCAGTAGTCTGAGATTTACAACTTATGTATTTTACTTAAACTGATTGAACAGTATATGTCTTCATTATTCTTTTTCTTCTACTATTAACCCCAAATGTTCACTGCCTTAGTGTAATTTTATTCCCACCAATTAGTGGTGTACTTTTGTTTCTTTTCAGTCTGAATAGAATTTCTCATCAGATTTTTAGTCACATCATTCAAGGATCACAAATCTTTTCAAAGCACAGAACAACCAAATACTAGAACATTACTGGTTCTCAAATTTAAAGTTTACCATTTTGCCAAAATAGATCATTTGCTGTGAT